TCTGCGCCGGCCCTTCCTGCCGTCCTTCTGCGCGGGGCCAGCCTCCCCCACGCTCTGCAGCCAGAAAAGGCGAAGGGGAGCTCACACACTGCCCTCGATGCGCTGCCTGACCCTATCCAAGGGCCTCAAAGCCTACTTTTCCTCATTTCAGAATAAAGGCAACACCCTGTCCCCTCCCAGGCCACCAAGAGGTTTCAATGTAACTGCAAAATCTCCAAGTAGTGCACGATTCTTGGTTCTTCTCCTTGAAACCTCGGTATCGTGCTGGTGCACCTCCACATCGAGTTGTGTCTTTTTTCCCCAGACTGGCTGCTGTGCTGTGGGGGAAAAAGAAATCAATCCAGCTGCCCCTGCGGAGCAAGTGTGCAGGGTCCCGCCCCGTCCCATTACCCCGCTCTCCATGTGATACTGCTCTGGCCCTCTCCGCCCCGCTCTGCCCCAGGTGCTCACCATTTTGTTGTTGATCTCATGGAAGTGGATTTCGCATACTTTTTCCACAATATCTTCACTTTCAAACGTGACAAACCCGAACCCTGAAGAAAAGGCAAAACTCCCTGATCAGGTCAGAGCTCTGCACAGCTTGCGCCTGCTACCCATATTCTTTTATTTGCAGGAGAAGAGAAGGAGCCACAGGCTCCTAGGATGGCCCAGTCAGCCCTTGACAATGGCCATCACTCATCTTCGCTCTCCAGCAAATCCTACCTTTACGCACAAGAACAACAGGACCATCCCTTTATGGATTCCCCTTTCCTCCTCTTTCTGTACCTCCCACCCTCTCTGAACCCAACTGCTCTCAAAACCAAGTTTGTTTGTTTTTTTTTTTTTTTAAACTTTGCTATTTGCAAGGCAAACCACATGGCTGACAATGCTGGGGACGTTCCCTGCAGATGCTCGTACAAAGAGAGTTGGTGGAGAAACAAACAGCTGCTGGCCAGGCCATCACCACCCTCACCAAAAGCACCACACCAGCAATAACACCCTGCACATCTCCCCCTCAAAGCCCCCGTCACTGGTCCTAAGGCTTTGTATAAGCAGACGAATATCAGCAGTACAGTTGTACAGAGCGAGACAGACACAGGCAAGCAACAAGACTCACAAAGTTTCCCCAAAGTGAAGTTAGTATCTGGGGTAAAACGGGATCGTGCGCTCCTGGCCCCTGCCCCACGCTCCCACCTCGTCTCTCTCACCCGTTCTTTCCCTTGACAGTTTTGGCAGAGGCCACCCAGGGTGGGCGGACAAAAATCCTCTCCCACCTGACTGGAATCCTCTCCCACTGCTTCTGGAGAGCTGAAGCAGGTCAGAGGATGTCTTTAAGCTTGCTTTACAACCAGGCTGGGACTAAGCAGCTTTCCACGTTCCAGAACTGATAGTGGCAAATTTCATGGCACTTGAAAATAACTTCTAAAAACAGATAGGGATCCCCTACCCTGTGTGTGCCCAGGTGGTTACACACCATTCACCTCAACACCCGTGAGCTGGGGTCCTCGGGAATTCAAGAGTAAGGCCTGATGCCGAAACTAACCCTGAGCTCGATCAGACATCACCAGCCTGGCGCACGCTGGCAGAGCCCAGGCTGCAGACTCGGCAGAAGACAGCTCTCCCTGCTCCCTCCAAAACACCCAACAGCCTTTTACTAACTAGCGACTGGGAGGCATCCGTGGAGGAATGGAGGTTAAACCATTTCTTCCCTTTTAAGATGATGGTGGAACAACTCCCTAGGCCAGGCAACCAGAACAGATTTAAAGGCTTAAAATAAACAAACAAATAAATACGAGGTGGCTGCTCTGAAGGTCACACAGCATAGCAAGAGCAGCGAGGAAGCATTTCCCGTGCTGGTCTGGTGGCCAAGGTGCCTCTAAGTGCTTCAGCAACACGCAGATGTGAGAGCAGCCCAGCATCGGGCTGTTACTGGTCCTGATTTGGAGGAGGCTGACATTAAGTTTATAGGTTAATTTGCTGCCAATGAGACTCTGAGCTGGTGCAATACTGGCGTCAAGCCCTGCACTGCACCAGGGTTGCCAATTTGAAGACGTGCACAAGAGATCTAGACACAGGGAGCGGGAGGCAAGGGCACCCAGGGGTGGGCTAGGTCTGGAGAGCACAAATACCAGAGCCTTGCTCCCATCCTGTAACCAGACTCCAGCCGGCCGACTCGAAGGAAAAGGTGACCTGGGAGCACAAGCGGGCTCTGGGCCGAGGAAGGGGCGAGAGGCAGGCACTCATCAGGCTCTCGTGTCAGCTTTCCCGGAGCTCAGATTACTCGGGACAAGGTAAGACAGACACTGCAGGCTGGAGCCGTGGAGGTAACTGGGAAGGAGACGGGGCCGCCTCCTCTCACATATCTGCAACTCGGCGACTTTGCAGCACAGGAAACGCACTGGACAAAAGCCCTCTGTGCTGCGAGGGACGCTGCTGAAGGATGCAGATGCAAAAGGATGGGGCGACTGGAGGCAAGATAAAGAGCAGCTGTGACCTGCCTGCCCTGCTGCTGCAATACGAACCCCCCTCCCTACCCACGGCGCGGAGCAAACCCTTGGCAGCTCTTGCTCCTCCGGCCGGCCGGCTGCTCTCACCTCGGTGTCGGTTGGTGGTCTTGTCGAACATCAGCATCGCGTCGTCCACCTGCAAAGAGAAGAGCTCCCATCAGACTGGTACTGTTGCTGCAAGCAGCCGCCAACACGTCTACTCCCAGCTTCCCTGGCCTTCCCAAACCAGGGAGCATCGAGACCACCCATCCCTGAGGAGGAAACGGGGTGCGCA